CACTTAATTAACTTTCATCTGCTTTAACAGGAAATATTGGTTTCTTTGATTTGAGCTATAGGTATAATAAAAACTACTATATACGGCATAAAGATGAATTTAGTAATGGAAAGCTCTTAACTGGAAGATTTATCAAAGATAGTGAACCTTACAACCCTAACAAAAATGTTTTATTTGGATTTACAGTTTGCAAACAAAAAGTTAATTTTTTTAGTTTAGATTCTTAGGTTTTTATCAACTAATAAACAATACTTAGTTCTACATATTATTACGTATTAGAAATAATGATTAGTTGTTTTACATATTAATATGTGAAATTGCTATATCATATTATATCTTCAGTTATAATATATTGTATCTATAGATGTATCTATAGATATATCTTTAGTTATACTTTGTAAAATTATTCTTGATTCTTAAAGACGTCATTGTTAAAATATTATCGAAAGAAGAACTTAAGTAGAAAAATATTTATATATATTCGACAAATTCCAAAGCCAAATACGTAACAATCAAGATAAGGCATTTGAAAAATTTATGGATAAATCAACAACCTTGATATTATTCTTTTAAATATGCCTTTGTTTACAAAAAGTATGTACTCATCGGTAGACTGTGTTAAAAACCTAGTGTGCTTTTTGTTTACAAAAAGTGTGCACTCATTAGTAGGCTGTTCTTAAAATAACACTAACAATAAAATATACAAAAGTACTCTTGAATTGGTCAGACTATGTATTTTATAGCTATGCTCAAATACAACTTTTCAGAAGATTGTATCAGTCAACTTATTCAACCTCTGCTGCGAACTCTTGTTGATGTGTCAGCTAAGTTAACTTAACAAGATTGGTATTAACTTTAATAACGGATTCTTCTTCACATCAACATTTCACCAGTCGCTATTGACTTTAATCTTCATTTACCAGTAAGTTTCTCAGAAATTCAGTTGAACACCGTTTCAGAATCTGTAAAAAGCTATACCAATTACCAATTTGAACATAATATATTTAAATTGGTAATACAATTGTGATATATTAGTGCTTCTATATAATCTATAACAGTATTAGAGCTGTTATTCAATCTATAACAGTATCCATCTCTATAGAAATAGCGCCAGTCCACTCTTTCCTTTTATGCCATTCACAGCCCAAGCCCAACATGCTGACTTGCAACCTTTAATCTGAGCACCTACTTTTCCACAAACATATTTGCATTTTCATCACAAAGTTGAGAATTTTTACAAATCACATTGTACCAATCTTGAGTTAAGCTCATTCCGAGTATCAAATCCAAATGATCTGAAGTGTACAAAAATAACTTCATTGCGTACTTTAATAGCATTAGCCTCAATGGTCGCAGTCCCGAATCCAAATACGTTGACCCGTTTCTTTAACAGTCACTACTTTTGGAGTATTTAAACTTTTAAACATGTCTTTTGTCACAACATTCGGAACATCAAATGATTTTCTTAGTAGAAAACTTTTTGCCTATATGTAGCAAGATGCCGAGACGCAGAGTTTAAATTACTTTCATTTTTTATTATGGTTTTTATAGCAGCTCTTACTTTGGGTAAAATAATATCGATTGTGTTCATCACTGCTTATAATTTTGATTATTTTTGACAATCACACGACAAACACCAAACGCATGGCCTATTCTGACAATTAATCAAAGATAAGCCAATTGTTTCAAATTAGCCAAAAATAAATTGGCTTTCTTTTTGTCAAAAAACATTTGTCTCGTAAAAAGCTCATTTGCACTGAAAGGATTCACAGAAAATGTTGTCAACAGCGTTTCCTCGACAATGCTTGCATCTTATACTTAGCGGTTAAAGCATCATGAATCCAAATAAGCAATTTTTTAAAGAAGAATGGTAAAAAGTATATCCAGCTTATAGTCTTGCATTTCAGCGATCACTTTCGTTCTTTATATATTACAGCAGCTTTTGAAGTTCAATCATACGTTTCTAACATTGTTAATATATTCATACTTGAATCCGTGCCTGCCTAGCTTGTAATTTTCTAGCATAAACACAACATTAGAGTTCCCAGAAAATATGCCACAGCGGATTTTCAGTGGACCTTTATAGGTATTTTTAGCGAACTTCTGTAGTTTTGTTCATCAGTTACTTAGTGAACGATTATTTGCAGCCGCCACTAATAAGCAGCGAGTTTTGCAACATCGGTTAGAAAGGCGTAAGGCGTGAACTTCCTACTAAATGCTCATCCGCGGTGCTTTGTGATAAGACCGTAAGAACTTCATAGGGCACCTAAAAAAAAAAAAAATTGGTTTACTAATTAACCGATGGTCAAAACTTCAATCACACGAATGAACCGCTCAAAATGCCTATTTAGGTCCAATTAAAATCCACTACATCAATGTTTGCTGGGATTAAGAAGTTGTTTTTTTCTGAACTCATTGAGAACCTGTCTCTTAAAAATCCATCCAACATTTTATAATAATTCATAAATCTCAAAAATTACTGTAAAAACCCGTGTAAACAAAACACTTAAACCTTAAAAAGCATTTGCAAAATTTTTCAGTTAAAAAGCCACTTAAATGCTCCATTTACTTGAAAACAAAGAATACTCTATTACTTTATATATAATCAAACATTATAGGTAATATAAACAAAAATACTATAATTAAATTTTTGGATTATTTTTCTTGAACATATAAGTGAAATAAATCACTGAAGCCTTTTACTAAAAAACAACTGCCACAAACTACTTATGGAACAACTGCCACAAACTACTTATGGAACAACTGCCACAATCTACTTATGGAACAACTGCCACAAACTACTTATGGAACAACTGCCACAAACTACTTATGGAACAACTGCCACAATCTACTTATGGAACCTAACTTGTTAAACTTTTTTGATTAAGAGTATTTGTTTTACAAAAATAGAAAAGAGGAAAAAAAAATGAGGCTCAATTAAACATTTTAGATTTTGATTAGTTGCTTAAAAAACTGAGACGTTAAGGTATATTAAAATTTTTTTTTTTAGCGTTTTTTTTTGAATGGTTTGTTGCATTTTTTTTCGCAATTTTATAGTTTTATTTTCGCATAAATTTGAAACAGTTTTCTTTTATTCTAGTATATTTTAAGTATATGCTTATTACAATCACAAATACATGTACAAACACCTATTCAATATTTATTTTTTTGATTAGCTATAAGTTAGTTATAAATCTATGTATATTGTATGGGAATATTAATTTTTCATTTTAAACTTTCAGTTTAAAATGAAAAATTCAATATTCATTAGTTTCAAACTGCATAGATATTTTAGTTCTCTTAAAAGAAAATTACAATTTTATTTTTGGTAATGTAAGTATTTTAGTATATAAAACCAAGCCAACATAAAATCAGACTTCAAATGCTCAAATAAGATAGCAATCTATTAATATTATTTATTTCTTTGAGTATTTGTTTATTGTTTAGTGATTTAGTCTTACATTGTTTTTTTATTACTTTTTAGTCTTACATTGTTTTTTGTCAAAAAATATATATTGCAAGGTGAGCATTATACAAACAAGCTCTATACTGGACTTTATTTCTAGAAAAATATATATAAATTTCGAATGAAGAAATGGAACAATTCAAGAAAGCTGGCATTTATACCTAAACTAGGTTTACTTAAAAAATCATTTTTAAATGATTTGTGTTAAGTTGCATATCACATTAAATAACAAATAAGTTACACACAAGTGCAGAAAGTCTTCTAAAGCCTTGCATACTAGGAATGTGACTTTTTTGTAACTCTAGTTTCCAATATAAAAAACAGATGAACTTTGGCTGGAAAGTAAAAAAAAAGTCATTGGTTTTATTTATTTTTTGAAAAACGTCACCCTCCATGACCCTTGATTACCTCTTTAAAACCCACAAGGAACTGAGCGTGTTTTTTAATTGCATATATTCTCAAATTATAAGAAATAGATATCTAATGATAAAATAAATTGTTTTTTTTTTTTTTAAATTTCGACTCTGCTTTGTTCGTGTGGTCGGTAAGTGTAAAAAAAAAGATTAAATAACTACAATTTTTTTTTCCAAATAACTTACTAAATAGTTACATTATTATAAACATTGCATATATTAGACACACAAGATGTACAGCAAAAAAAAAATGTTTGAGCAAATAAAATTAACTGTATATTTTTGGTTTATATATAGTAAACAGGTATAGTCTGATAGACTCTAAATTTATTAGATGGAGTTTGTTTATGAAAACTACTGGTAATATTTTAAGAAGCAATTACGTTCTTTCAACAAGATCAATGGGACATCACAACTTAAGCATACAACGAATGTTCTTTGCTCAGTCTTGTCCTCAGCACATTGGACACAGCGTCATCGTGTGTCTTAAAAGTGGCTAATTGAATATGCACCTGCCATATGTATTGATTTGTAACCTGTCTAATCAAAAATTTTGTGCAATAAAAAGTATATTCATATTTAAAATGTGCAACTTATAGAGTTTGTAAACTTATAAGTTTGATGGTCGGCATGATAGTGACTTCCTTTTGCAAGATGAAAATCTTCGTATCCGGCTGTCGGCAACAAAAGCTTTAAATTCAAATTGTGTCAGCTTTTTAAAAAATTTAGCATTATACAAAATAAATGCATTTTCACTACTGATATGAAGTAGGTCAAGGAAAATGCAAATGTAAAAGCGTAATTTAGATTTTCCACCAAACTATATGACTTCTTTTGATCAAGTTGATTAACACCTCTCATTCCATTATTGTATATAGAAATCTGCTTTGGGCACGTGACTTTAGATTTTTCCTTTTTACCTTCTTTCAACAGGAAAAAACGCAATGTTGTCACTAACATTTGTTGCAACTCAAGTAACAGATTTAAAAACAAAGTCTTGCAATATAATTACAAATTAGTATAAATCCTATCAAAAATGCTGACCTTTTTTAGGTTTCCTTCCTGTAGGATAAAAAAAATTGTAGCTTTTATATTTATATATAAAAAAAGTGAAGGCCTACCTGTTGTCCATCCATTTGTATGCAACAACATTGTTGGCAAATACACATTGGCTGTCTCTTCATTTCTTTGTCTGTCTACAAAATAATACAAACCAACACCAAAGTTAATTTTCTTAGGGCATATATAAGCTAAAATTATATGCATATAAATAAACTGGTAACAATAATACTTACATTAAACTTAGCCATAAACTTTCTATTGCCTCTAACAGTACCCACAAAATAAAGGCTATGATCCAGAAAGATTTTGACTATGTTGGTGAAGTGAAAAAGTTGTCAGAAAAAAAGTAACAATTGATCCATTCAAACTAAAAAGATCATTGTCAACTAAATCCAACAATGCATAAATTTCACCATTGCTCATTTTATCAATACAGTATGACACCATTTTGTTTGATATTCGAATTAAAATATAAGAAGGTTATCCGTATCATGCGTAAAAAAAATCCTTAAATTTTTCAAATTTTTTGCAAGAATAGTAATTATTAGTATATAATATATACTATAGAGTTAATCCATGGCAAAATTTTTGGCAGAAATTAGGGTTCGGAAATTTACATGCATGCATGCGCATGTTAAAAATGCGCATGCATGCGCATGTACGTGCGCACGTACATGCGCATGTAGATTAACGGTAACAAAAAATTTAAATTTAATAAGGTCATTCTTTTGAAATATTTTTAAAGTTAATTTAAGTTTTGACTCATTTTTCTCTATTATTTTGCTTCAAAAACTATCGTAAGAAATGATTTGCATACATTTGAATCATATACATTTAATTAGAAAATCGTTTCTCGTTAGAAAAAGGCTATAATGAGTCAAATTGAAGTCGCAAAATATTTAACCGACTACAATCGTCAAACTAATTATGGCAAGTGAAAATTATGTGATAAACGTGTCCAGTGGTCCAAAGAACGTCTTGCAGCACACAAGAGATCATCCTGTCCAAAAGCCAGTCTCGAAGAAAAACGACTGTTTTCGAAACGCAAATCAGAATCACCAGCACATCCTTACACATCCTCTCAAAATGAACACACTCAACCGATGCAAGCCTCACAAGAATCGCTTTCACATGTAGCTGACACAACAAATGGAGAATGGAAGGCAGATGTTGACATGAAATTATCAAACTATTTCTATAGAACTGGCATTTCTCTACGACTAGTTGAATCTGATGCATTCGAGGATTTCGTTTAGGCGCTCAATCCAGCATACGCAGCTGCTATGCCGAGTGCAAAGACCTTATCAGGACCGCTGCTCGATAAGCACTTTAATAAGTGCTCTGCTGCTATCAATGAAATCATCCAATCTCACGTTGATGTCAGATGGTTGGACAAACATCAGAGGTGATCACATCGTTAATTTCTGCGTGAAGGCACCGGGTCAAAAAGCTATTTTTTATTCATCTATCGATACCTCCGGAATCATTCAGAACTGAGTTGCAGTTGCTGCTGCTATCATCCAAGTCATCAACAAGATTGGTTCACAAAAGTTCTGCAGCATGACTTCATAACAGGTGCATTTCTGATAATGCACCTGTTACGAAGTCATCATGGAAGATAATCGAAGAAACATACCCACACATCTCAGCAAGTGGTTGTAGCGGCCACGGCATGAATCTATTAATTAAAGACATTGCCAGTACCACAGAAGCTGCAAAAACAATCAAAGAGTTGGAAAAGATCATCAAGTTCATCAAAAACCACCATATGGTCAAGTCAATGTTTGATGAATATCGACGTACAGCAAATGTCACTCAATCTCTCTGCATTCCTGTTGCTACACGCTGGTTTAGCTTGTACAATGCAATAAACTCTCTTCTTCTCTCCAAGTATGTTTTAATCAAGCTAGCTGACGAGGAAAACGACGCATTAAAAGAAATTCAACCCTAAACCACATCAGCAGCAGTCCTGACTTTAATCAAATCCCCTGCCTTTTGGACTCGTTTGGGAAAGTAAGTTAAGGACATTGAGCTTCCTTCCAAAATGATCGGAAAGTTGGAAGCTGATGAAGCTCCGCTCTCACTTGTCTACCACTATTTTTATCAGCTCTTCAACTATTATGATGATGACGAGAGTATTCAACAAAAAGTTCAGTCGTGACTCGATTTTATTTTCACGCCAGCCATGGGACTAGCTTACATGCTTACGCCAAAGCACGCAGCAGACGGCTTTTATTTTGGAGATGACAAAATTGACATTATTACAGCCACGTTTGATCGAACAAGCGAAATTTATCCGGGTATTGCTGACAAAGTGCGAGAACAACTGATCGAGTTTAGTGGAGAAATGACTACTATTATTGGTCGCAACAAGTATCTGGAACTTTGGTGGCAACAAGTGGCAGTTTCCATCAATGAGATGATATGCACATCAGCTGCAGCAGAAAAAACTTGGTCGATCTTCAGATTTATTCATTCACACCAAATCGTCTAACAAATGAACGAATAAAGAAGCTAGTTTTTCTATATACAAATAACGTACTGATGGATACTCGTGACAAAAACGACTACATACAAGATGAAGGAGCTATGATCGAAGAACTTGAGCGAGAATTTGCAGAATAAGACATAAAATGTTATCATAGATTGAGTGTATTTTGCAGCTAATTATTAAATTTGAAATTGAATAAAATCTAAAACTTGAAGTTTTTGAAGTTGTTTACGATTAGAAGTATTAGAAAATTTATTTTATGTTGTTTTTCAACACAATTGATTTGCATAAAATTTGATTTACTAGCTTAATCTACATGCGCATGTACATGCATGCATGTGCATGTGCACGTAATGTATGACATGCGCATGCATGTGCATGCATGCAGGCATGTTGCCGAACCCTAGCAGAAATTTTATTAAAACCTAATCAATACACCATATCGAACATATGGAACATGGTGTCCCTTATTTTTTAAAGTGTTACACACTTGCTCCCATATATTAGTGAATATTTTTTTCTTTGTCAACCTTGGTCTCAAAAGAACCAGAATTTCATAGAAAATTCAGCAATAATAATGGTTTTGAATAAAAATGAATTGTCTAAGTTTTATATACAAAAAGCAACAATTTTTAACTAAAAAATAAAAAGCTGGTATTTTTTCACATTTTGTTTGCAATATATTTTTTTAATGCTTCCCTAGAAAAGATTATGAATTTTGAGATCACAACAAAACTATGGTTCTTTTGAGACCCAGGTTGATATACTTTTGAAAAAAAAAAAAAAATCACTGGTATAGGGGATCTAGTGTGTAATCAAGGGTCGTGGAGGTTGAACTTTTTTAAAAATTGAATAAAACCAATGACTTTTCAGTTACCTTTAAATCCAAGTTTAAAGCCAACATTTTTAATCATTTAAATTATATAAATCTGTCTTTTTAGTGTTGTGCTATCTTTAGCATGGATGCAAATGGAAAGCTAAATGTTTTTTTGATAAGCTGATTTTTTGAAAACTAAGAGTTTGTGCAGAAACTTTTTTTAATTAGAAAAACAGTAAAGTGCAATCAGCAAGAAGTGCAAAATTAGAAGTAAAAAAAAGTCTCAAAACAACTCGAAATCCACAACAAAATTTTTGCTAAGGTTTTTTTGCCCCCCAAACCCTATTTTTTTGAAGGATTTTTTTGCCCTTAGATGACTTGACATGATATCCAAAAAAGTATCGCGAGCTGATTTTCATGCTCTGATTTTTACGCATGGATTTTAGTCTTTTATTAAGGATGTCTGTAAATTTTGGTATAGTCTAGGATGAGTCTAACCTTTCCTTGTTAAACAAACAATTTCTATATTAATTTCATTTGCTACTACATACCTTTTTTGAGTCAGGGTTCTCAATATTAGTTCCAATAAAAACTAAAAATTATAACCTGTACGATGTCAAAGAAGATATGGATGTTACGCTGTCTAAGACAATTCTTCAGTTCTAAAATTAGTGCGCTTATTGGAAAAAAACAGTAATCATTTCATTAAACAACAGTCATGCGCGAGTTTTACTTGATAATAAATAAAGTTATTTTTTTTAATACTTTTTTTCTTTTCTTATACATTTGCAAATAAATTAGGAAAAAGTCCGTCAGATTGAAAAAATTTTAAAAATGGTTGTTGCCTACAAAAATATTGCAAACCACTGATTTAGAAATTTTACTTTATCAAAACACTTTCAACATTTTTTAACTTTAAGATTTAACTTCTTTCCATTTTGCTAACTTGATTTAAAGGTTCAAATAAATAGTCATTCAAGGTTTTATTTCTTCCCACTGCAACAAAATTTTTATTTTGTCAGTGTCTTTTCTTATAAATAAAAAAACTGAATTTTTATAAGTTTTTAGTTCCTTTTTTTAAAAAAAACAATTTAATTTTTGGATTTGTATGAAATTTTGCTTTATTTGAGTATTTTACTTGAGTTAATCTATTTTTTAAGGAACCTTTTATGTAATAATGTAACTTCCGAAACTTCTTCTTTTTTTTGTGTGCAGAAAATAGATAAAAAAATTAAGAAAAATGGCATACTTTTTCCACCTTATTATGGAATACAATTTTTTTTATTGTTTACAAATAATATAACAATAAATGTTTCGACTATTTTACAGTCATTTTCAGATGGTTTAAAAAAAACTTATTTAATTTTATATACAAATATTCTTTATAAAAAATATAATTTACAGTTTTTTATGAATTAAGACAAAATAGGCAGTAGCAAAAAATAAAATAAAAAAGATATTAAATTGTTTAACAAAATAATAATTACGAATAAAATGGTAACTATTATGTGAAAAACAATATCCTATAATAGTTTTGTTCATATCTGAGTTTTTTCATTCAACAAACACTCTTTAATCTTACGGTTGAATTTATAGAAGACAGAATCTTGTATTGAGAAACAGTCGTTGTTATAATCGTTAAAACAAACATTGTTTGCATGCAGATTTTTGCATATGTTTGAGTTTTTGTCTCCCCTGCAGTGTTCAGTTATTCGTGTTTTGAGGTGGCGAAAAGATTTGCTTAAGTAACAGAATTTAAATCTTTTTTTGAAGAAAGATGGCTATAATCAAACAAAGGAATCAAGCCAGTATTTTACTACAAACGT